ATACCGCAGCTCCACTTAATGTTTGCGAGCTCGAGGCTGATAGCGATATATTAATTTGGAGCTTCCTTCACCGGCAGGTACAAAGTTAAATTCCACCACGGTAGGCGGCAACTGAATTACTTCTTCTTGCACAATGGCGACTCTCTGCCGATGTCCATCAATTACAGGCACACTTTCTAACACAATGTCGACAAAAGCTTCTACATCTTCCATGTCTTGAAACAAGTGCAATTATAAACAAAATCATAATATTACGTAATCGTTAAATAGTAAAATGGACATTTAGCTGCGTATATTCTAGAAGAGGAACAAGTTACCGAATTATCGATCTACCTTGTATAGCTTTAGTTAAATTATTATTGGGTAGATACACCTCTTTCCATGACCACCCAGGAGGCAATAAATTCACACTAGAAATAATGCAATTTATTGGAGATGTTTACGGTCTCGTTATAGGATTCCCCATTAGATATTTCTCTACACAGGGTGTATAAAAAATAACTAATAGGCCTACCTTTTTAATAGTACTGCTTGCGCATAAGTAGTAACCCGTTAGCAAAGGATAAGGTGTATAACAGAGTTGAACCTTAACATTTTATTAATGAAATCTTAAATTTATACAAGAATTTACTATTTTTAGCTTTATACAGGGGTAGTTTGCTAATAACCTTTAGTCTAAGAATATTCCTAAAATAATATCCTAATTTGTATACAAATTTCCTAGGATTTTGACAATTTGTAACTAATTCATCAAAAATCACAACCTTAATCAACTTCCATCTGTTCAACATCTTGAGGCTTATTGATAGCATAATGGCCCCACGGTAGAGTGTTAAATGAGTCAGGAATCAGGTATCTCTTATCATCCTCAGGACTTAGAGCAATTTTCGACTGCGTTATGGAATAAACTTGATGTTTATCCGTACGAATCAAATTTTGAGATGTAGTTTTGCGCTTATAGGTCTCCAGACACTCCACATAATCATCAAAGGTAATTTTAGTTTCTACTACACTTTTCTTTATCCCCTTTGCCTTCTTAGTCAAACCATAATTTTTAATAATCGTAGCAATTTCATCCTCATCATACTCCTCCGCTTCCAATTTCTGTTGTAGTTTTATTAAATCGTCCTTAGTGGATAATACTTTAGTGGTGTACAGTTTCGATCGTAATCCTACATAATCGGTCATTATCTGTCCATTATTTTCATCTTTCATCATGCCCAACACTTTCTTATTTACAAGGGGTATGCCATATGGGTTATTGGGGTCATAATCGCTAGTATCGTAATATTTAAAACAGTCGTTTTTTATCGCCATATAAGGATCTTGTTCACGAATTTCATAAATTAAGCTGTCCGTATCTGTGTAAAGAACTGTGCAGTTATCTCCAAATCTATCCATCATGTAGTCATAATGGAAGCTGTAGATGGTCGTCTTGGCTAGATCAAGAATGGCTTGACCTACGTATATAGGCTTATTTAAATAGACTTCAAGCTTATTCAATTCTACAGCTACCAAGTTTTCGTTAAAAATGGCGCAAGATTTAAATTCCGGTTTCGCAATGTATGATTCTGCGCCGTAACGTCCTTTCCATTGGGATAGTAATTTGATATTAACCCGTTTTCTGACATTTTCCATAGTCTTCCCAAAGACCGCGTTATTCATCAACTTAAACAAGTTCTTCTCAAATTCATTCTTGGCTTTTTTTCTTAGTTCTGTATTAAGGTCAATGTAGGACTTTAGCCAAGGGGACTGTTTAAATTTGAGTACCCTATGTACTTTTGTGAGAACTAACCCATGCTCTAATGCTTGTTTTAAGGCGCGATAGTGGATGACGTATTAATTTTTCTTTATTGTCCAAAGTCGCCATGAGTTTTGAAGGAGGATCTTTAGTAGTAATAGGTGGCTTTAAAGTTTTCGGGTTAATATGTATAGGACAGTACGGTAAAGCAGCGTGTCCTTGATGTAAATCCTTTGGGTATGTTAAATCAACTTCTAAAATATAACCTTCGTCTGCATCATCCGGAATCGTAGCGATATCGATGTTGGAGTCTACCCATTCAAAGCCTCCATATGGAAGATATTGACTCATACTCCATCCATACTGGTTATTGATGTCGTTGTACATTAGATAGACATCCGGTTTCGTTGAATCATATTTGAGCATATATTTGTTGTTTGCATGAGCTCTTCTTTTACAGCAGACTTGACTTAGCCCTCCACGAATACCCCGTTCGACAAAGAGAAACATATCCTGATCGGTAAGGAGTTCCAGCTCTTGTTGCGTGTATTTCAACATGGCATCCCAAGTAAAGCCTGGTAGTGTAAAATAGTGGGCCGGATCTAAATCATAAGTGCTAATACAGCTTGATCTAAACTGTTCAAAGACATCTGCAAGGAGTAGAATATCAGTCTTCATGTATAAGTCAACATATTGACCCAAGTTGCTGCAGTTAAATTTGGTCCACACCTCTTGAGCTCTACGGTACATTCTTCGAGGACAGGGCTTATCTTCTAGCTTATTGTAAAATGTCTTGAGGAGGCAGACTAGGCTCATCGAAACGGTCGAACGAGTCGAAATAATCATACGGCATAATACCCTTTTTAGTTAAAATATCAAATTGATCTTCAGGTAGTGTAGAGAATTGTGACTTTAGATTAGGAAAGTTCGTTAGAGCTGATGATAATTTATCTAACGATGATGCCATAAACCGGAAGCTGTCTATAAATCTAAAGCATATGCGTGACTCGTTGATGTGTTTGGTAAAAGAAATATATTGCTCCTTGGTTATAGGGAGCAAGTCGATCTTGCCGTCCATTCTAGTGGCAATATCTGTTACAACAAAGTGTGCATCATATCCACTCAAGTTGTGGAACACCACCGGAATTGTATGAGTGTCCTGGTAGTTGACGTTGTATCCCTCACATGACGCTCCGCGGAAGTTGTTCTCCGGGATAAGGTGATTGTGATCTGGAACTTTCTTTTGACCAGATTTAAATGACTGTTCAAAAATATGGCAGTGCGTTGCTGCTTGAAATTCAAGTTCCTGCTGTGGTGTCATATGCATCTTGTAGGGGCAAAGAAACACCGTAGAGACATCTTCCGCAAGCTTATTCATCTCGTCAGCAAACCATCGCATACAGTCTCCACCGCGGTAGCTGTTGTAGAACGAAAGAGATTCATCGTATGAGCACTTGAAGTAGTATCCCACAGCTGCTGGAATATGTTGTTACTAATTTTGTCTATTTTTTAACCTAAAGTGCCTGGGCTATAAACAATCCAAATTATGTTCGGTAGGTCTTCGTCCTTATGCAAATTATAATGCATGTCCTTATACATTCCTCCCCCGATATATTTTGAATTTGAGGGGGTAAAAACCCTCTTATGATGACCACGTACGCCTAGAAATATCCGAATATGAATATTGAAAAATGCGTGTGTGTATAACTTACATTCGGATAGCGCTCCTCGATACATTTTACGAGTTCTTGTTCTGCAACTTAAAGTATAATGGAATATAATTGATAGGAATATGTTGATTACCTTTAGGGGTTTGATCTCTTGCAAAAACTAAACTTGATTCTATATCTACAAAAGCAATAAACTTTAGGCCATTATATGCGAAATACGGTACTTACCACTCATAATTTCTAAGTACAACTGCTAAAATGATAGAAACATCAGGATGGTATTGCGGTTTCAGATTATCACTATTTTGTAGCATTAAATGATAAAAATTCTCAATGCGGTATGGAACATCCGCAAATAAAAAAAACACATGATAAAAAATTACATACTTTATTGTAACGTGATGAAAAATGTCGGGTACAAAACGCTGTTACGAGTGCCAAAAGCATTTTTGTTTTTGTAAAAAATCTATTGAAATGCATCCTATAAGAAACAATAGTGATGATTTGTTATGTTATGAAGAATTAGCACCATCGCCACTTCCGAAAATGGTAAAATATAGAAAAACAGGTAAGCCAATATTATCAATTCATGAATATCAGGAAATACATTAACCAATTACCACAGACGATGCTGATAAAAGTTATTTTTCAGGAGAAAATTCTAGCATAAATAACAAGGAATCTTCATCTTTAGAGGTAGTTAATAACTAGACAACAAATTGGTAAGTAATTCTTATATAAGTAACATTACTAAATTAATTTGTGAAATATTAATAGACAAAAGAAATACTTTATAATAAAATCAAATGACATGGATCAGCTCTTAAAGGAATTAACTTCATTGGGAAAATGTGAATTTAAACCAATTTTAAAAATTAAGAATATGATAATTGGTAAAAAATACAAGCTATATAGTATTAAAGCAGTCCAAACTACTAAATTTGGTAGAAAAATTGTAGTTGAAACAGAAGATAACAGTGTTTTTCTACCCGAGCGTTATTCAAGATCGTTTTCAAACGAAAAAATCACGGAATTTGCAGCATCTATTCGGAAAATCGCTTTAGTTTTTGAAGGTGAAGTCGATGTGGGGAAACCGAATAAGTTGTTGCAAATATCTTTTACTGACGCATAGCAACAATAGGTATGTATGCTTCTTATTATGTTATTAAATAATAAATATTTTAAATTTTAGCAATATGCATCCACATTCAAATTATGAATGGGTTGATTACATGAATCACGATTTTGAAATAATGGTTGCTTCAGTTACTTTTAGTGCGGGACGCTATTTAGTTTCTATTAATAATATACTTAGTGACTTATGTTATAAGCGAAAGGAGATCAAAGTGCCTTCTCTCTACAATTTAACACAAAAAGCAATAATAAATAATAATTTGCCATGTAAGTCTTTACCAGATATTTTACTAAATCACATAGAGATACTTAAATGCAAGCATAAAGCACTTAAAACCAAAACTGATATCTTTAAAGAGAAGGTTCTGAGTCTTCATAAATGTTATCTTAAATTTAGAAGAAAATCTAGGGAATTTAATAACATATATTGTTATATTCAAGATATGTATGCAGATTTTGAGGCCGAAGATGAAAGATTAGTTTTGTCAAAAGCACTTGAAGCAAGTTGTAAGTATAACAATATATTTGTTTTAGCTGAGGAGCTTATATATTTCGATGTAAGGTATGAAATAGAATTACAGGAAATTATACAGGAATGTTCCATATTGATTGATTAACTGTTATGACATGACATTGTAAAATTACATTCGTAATAAAACTTAGTTGTTATTCACGTACTTTTGTAACATACGTCACGTGCGCGCGTGACGTAGTGATGAAGGCAGCACGATCTGCATTTAAGTAGCGCCTCATTGCCGTATTTTTATTTGATTGTGCATTCCACCGATTACCAGGTGCTCCTTTGAAAATTCTTCTCTCCAGTTATTTTACAATCTTGTTTTTAGTGAAAATGTCTTTGGTAAAGAATATCGAGTTGACCGTTAAAATGGTTGAAAATTTTCATAAAAATTACACATCTTCGGATGACTCTAAAGTGGGAAAATTCATTGATATAATCGATTTAAACAACAAACAAATAAAATCCATGTTAGGAAGTACCCTAATTCTTTTAATTTTAATTCTTTTAATTAGGTTTAAGTTTTTATATATATATATATATATATATATATATATATAAAATCAAAACATGTTTTACCTTTCGATGTCCAGGAAAAATACAGTAAAATTTTTACATTTAGGCATATCTTAATTGTACACAAAATTGCGCCAAGCTTTCTTATCTCCTGCAAGTTGTTTAGCTTCCGTCCATGTCAGTCCTCTTCTACTTAGTATCTCGCCAATTACTTCGTCCCAAGTTTTTTTTGGTCTGCCTCTTCGTCTTCGTCCATGCGTCTTCGCTTCCCAAATCTGTTTGACCGGTCTTTGACTGTTGCTTCTTTGTAAATGACCCCACCAGCTTAGTTGTTTGTTTTCAATAAATTCCAAAATAGATTTTACTTCCAGTTCCTCGCGAACTTCAGTGTTGCGGACTCTGTCACATCTTGTTATTCCTTTTACTGCTCGCAGATACTTCATTTCCATGGCCTGGATTTTACTTTTGTCACGCTTGTTTAGTATCCAGCTTTCACACCCATAAGTGAGTATGGGTCTAAAAATGACCTTAAAAACGTTCGTCTTAGCCGTTCTTGATACTTCACGTTTCCTAACGATTGTGTTTTTAATTGTGTGGTACACCTTTGAAGCACTTAATAGTCTCTCATTTATTTCGATGTCTTGTCTGCCATTTTCTTCTATTGTAATTCCCAGGTATCTGTATTGTTTCACTTGTTCAATTTCGTCTTCCTCGATGTGTACGTTCATTTGCGTCTGTACATTTGTGATAGCCATTACCTTTGTTTTATTTTTATTGATTTGCATTTGGTATTGTTGTAACACTTCGTGCCATATCCCTAGATTCTCTTTTAAATCCGTTTCACTTCCAGCAATAAGCACAATATCGTCAGCAAACAGGCATTCCGAGATTTGCACTCTCTGTAGGTATCTGTATCCAATACTTAGCGTTCTTTTGGTTTTTAGCGCATTTTTGCAAATTTATTTGTAAAAAGTAGCTTTTAATCTCACTTTGGCTGGCTGGCTGGTCGGCTGGCTGGCAGCAAATGTGGGCGCGTAGAAGAACTCTTATAGAAAGGCAACTGGTGTACGTGTATCTACAAGGCCGTGTAATTTGTAAACCTTGGGGACAGGGCTACATGATGTGGGGTTGGCGACATCTGG